GAGCTACCGTCCTTTTGATATACCATAGTGGGTGGAGCAGGAAGCCAAGGGACCGATAAAGAGTTTGCCCGATCGTCCAGCAAGTTACAACACAGTGTGAATTAGATCAAGGGAAAACTAAACTGTTGCCCGTAGACGTGCAGCGACAGTCTGCGCGGCAACTGACAACATTAGGACTCGATCACTCTGTGAAGTGTTTATAGAAGCGATGTGGGCACTCAAATGCCCAGGACAACAATATTCGGTATATTGGTCTATCGACCCCGCTGGAATTTTCAACACAGTTGATTCGATCTATGGCGAATAATCAGTAAGAAAAAGGAATAATACCTTGGGTACATGACCAAAACAACTATATGGTCAGCTACCGATGTCGTTGGAGAACAAATAACTTTTGGCGGTTGTTCTGCTCAAGGGGGAGAAGAGGTTCAAACAAATAGGTGAACCGAGATACTGCTGTATTATTTCAAGGTGATGTCGTATGTCGGAGGAAAATCAATCAAGGGCGGTGACGGCGGGGTCATTCTCTGGTAAGACACAAGGAATAGAACTTCCGTAACGCCGATTCACAATGTGCTTGTTAAATATGTACTAAAGGCCAAACAGGAAAAAAAACAATGAAAAAGGAGTACCAAGTAGTAGAACAGATCGGTATGATGGCAATACATTAGAACTCGTTGAACACCCTGAAAGGTACTGAAACAGTCGTTACTGTGGGAAACTTAAGGATGGAGGAGAAAAGCAACGCGGTTGACTGTCGGTGGTCAGGAATTCCGAGACCGATATCCACGCTGACGTGGGAACCGGCTAGGTCTAAAATTGTGATGGTACCCAAGACCACACAGATCTTCAAAGTTTGTAGATTATGCGGATTAGAGTGTGATGCGGAGAAACTTGTGGAAACCCACAGTTGCATGCGGGAAAAATATCATTCAAACTTACGTCCGTCATAATTCGATCCAAACGTTCTGTTGCTAGCTGATTATCCAATACGTGTTGCAATTTCTCTGACAACAGTCGGAAGAAAGCCTGAGGGTCTCGTTCCGCAAGATTATGAGAGCGAGACACTGTGGTCTTGGAAGTCACCGGTTCCGGAAGCGCGTCGCCAACAGCTGGGGCAGCCGCTGACTTGCTACGATCACCGCTGCGCCAGCCAGTCACACCACGACGCACGGCACGGCGTTGGTGCTTCGCGTGAGAACGGCCAGGCTGATGATCCGTGGATTGGACAGGCTGCATTCGTTGTCCAACCTGAGACTGAGTCATACTCGTTCCAGTGGCGGTGTCCAATCCGGTCAGTCGTTGTGAGTGGCCCAAATCCTCACGAGTAGGAAACGCTGGTCTCGGTGAGGTGACAAAAGGGACTGGACTAGATAGGGAAGTAACGGTGGCACGGTGATGTGTGCACACACACTCGGAACATTCGGCCAAATGTGGATAGTCTGCAGACTGACCGCGAAGCGATGGGGGAGCCAGAGCAGATGGCTGCGGTGCTGTTGTCGACTGGTTATGGTGTTGTTGTTGTTGTGGTGGTGGTGGGTGATGCGGTTGGGTGTGACGATCTGACTGGTGGTAAGAATGACTGGCAGGATGACGATGGCCGAAAGAATGCCAAAGTCGAGTACCACCACCATCACTGTGAGACAAGAATATGCGGGACGAGGTTTAGGAAAACATGATGTTGTTTCTGATGGGCGCGTGTCAACTAATAGTAAACACTCGAACCCGATCGTCTACACAATGCAAATGGCTGCTCCAATCCCCCAGATGACATGAGTGCGCGCTTTTGGAAATTTTCAAAAGGAACAGGCAATAAAGAAGCGGTCGATAGGACAGGAGAGAGGAACTAGAAAGAAAGTTTGTGCGTAGGTAGACCCATCAGTTTTAGTTTGGATTGTGCCGGTGTGTGATTAGTATGAATAGAACTGGGCACCTACAACTTACCGGAACAAGGATGACCAGACTGCCTCGGATATGACGCGGTGTAGTCATAAAACCTCTCATTTTTGAAAGATTAAAAGTTCAACCAATATTTTTTTAAGAATCGTTCAGATGTAACACCCTTCAGGTGCCCAGCCGCCATACCACCCGAAGGAAGCACGAGGGCTGGGATACTGCCAGGTCGCTCAGGCCTAGACAGGGGAAGTCGAGTGGCAGAGGTCGGGTTCGAACCACGGACCTTCCGGTCAGTAAATTCGCGCTCCACCCACTTGGGTCACCTCGCCCCCGGGGGGCGTCCCCGAGCCGGTGGACTCGTTCAATATCCCATATCCCGAGGTAGTCCGTACGGATGGTAGCAACCGTCTTCAGAAATGCTGAACCTATGCTACCTACCTATACCCCCAAACTCTGGGGAACACCCATATACATTATCGAGTTCGACACAATGTCTTGTTTACTAACGCCAATGCTTCGCAAATTCGTGGTCAACTGAGGCGATATTGGAGAAATATCGTTTTCCTGTTACGCAATAAAATGGCTTACGGAGACCAAACGGCAGTCACAGTCACTAGCATAGGAAATTCTTAAGCTGAATCTCGAGGAACTGAAAGTTACGGTAAAGAGGGAACGCAGTAGAGTTGGAATTTACTTTAATGGTTGTGGCCCGGTTGAAGAATGATGATCTCCGGGATACAATAATTTGGTGAGGATAGCCAGGAGAACAAAGACACAAACACAGAACGCACGCTCAACGATAAAAAGGATTTTGGAGTGTCGGTAAGGAGGCTGCTAGTGGCTATCAGACAAACGACCTTTCTGTGGATGTGGCCCAGAGCTAGAATTAGGTGGAAGGCCAAATGGTGGGTGGGACTCATGAACAAATCAGGCAGTAGAAAATGAGACAACTGTTAGGAGCGAAAAAACAATAGTAATGGCAACAGCAACGGTTCCAACATAGGCCTGTGAAGCATGACCCGCATAAGCACAGGACATCGGAAGGCTGGACGTCTTCACCCATCCGCGCGTGTGGAAGTTCGCTACCTGGAAAGTTTTCGCAGGCGCCACAGACATCTGGAGGGCTTGAACCAGTAGATTAAGGGTAGACTCATACCATCTAAAAAGCACGTGAGTGGTAGGAGAGTCATTCGAAGCCGGAAGTCGGCTCGATTAGTCCACCCTTTATAATGGCAGGCTGGTCTATGCAGTTGGAGAAACACTGGTCTCCGATCCCAGAAGTGTTCCGTATTGAGTCAGATTATTAAACACACACGCTGAATCACTCCAGTTCGTCACCAAACGGGATAACGTCCTTCCAACGACTGTTCACTTGAACAATCCATAACGAATTTGAATAGCACCAGTGACAATGGGTGACGGTGCCGTACGCCAGACAATATATCGAACTCGGTGGTGTCTTCATTAGATTACAACCAGTGACGAGCTGCTTCGTGGGGATACTCACAGTGATTCACGATTAGCAGATCAGGCGTAGCTCCAAAGTCGATGAAAAATGCTGTAGTGGGCTGCAGGAATTTGAAACGATGTGCTGATCTTTGTCGCCTAGGGGATATTTGGTCCACAGTCTATTCCGGGACAGAATCTTCTGTGGTCTGGCCTCGTGCGTGTACCCGCTTTCGAGGAAATATTACAACTGGAAGTTCAGGTAGTTCGGCAGCAAATTCAATAAGATAGTTATCAAAGACTATTCTATCGCCTTTTACGGCAGTGAAGCATCGGTGTTGAACACTGATGTCATGCTGTCGATGATGATGATCGCTTTTTGGGGTGGTAATAGTGAAGGATATTTTCGGTTTTCCAAGCTGTACAAAACAGTCCGTTGAGTGGTTCCAGAAGCACACACACGCCATTTGGGACTTAGTCTTATCCAGGGACTTTTCTATTATGTAGTTGTGTAGAGATTGAAGCCATCTACGGATCGCTGCTAGGCCCTTCAAAGCTGACGCCCAATGGTGTTGGGGCTCTCAAGGTCCCGGGTCTAAGCTGGCATCTCTTTGGAAGTTGTTTGAAGTAATCTGCCCACCAGTTCATTTTCTCACAAGAGTTGTTGAGGATCTCATAGACATACACACCGTTAAGGTCAGAAAGTTCCTGCCACCACGCGAACGAGGCAACAGACCTTGTCCAGGCGGGTTGCACGCCCGACAATATGGTCGACCAAGATTAGATACAATCATTTTGCGAAAATAACAAGACTTGGTGAGACGAGCTTCGTGTACAGAGTTTTAAAGCTACTCTATGGTCATCTACCAGAACCAACAATGTTTTTCAAATTATCAGAGTTTTTAGCATCGAAACTGGTTGTTATGGTGTCTGAAAGTGCCTGCCGTCTTTCGAGCAATGAGCTGAAGTTTAGCTCTGGCATGCACAAGTCAGTGGTCTGTACACCCTACGCTTCCAGAATACGTTCTTCAATTGACGGGGCGATTGTGTGTCAGAATACAGTCTGCCTGGGATTTCGTGTGATCCTCGTTTGGAAACCGTGTCAGCACATGCTTTCAGGTGTAACGAAAAAGGGGATGGCTAACGATGAGCCGACAAGGGGGAAGCGAGTTTAGCAGCGTCTGTCAGCTCCAAAAGTAACCAATTACATGTCATCTCGACTACTAACATGAGCGTTTCAGTAACTGGTTACTGTCGAGTTTATGTTGACCACGTGCTGCAAACATCCACAGAAGACGCCCTTTATAGTTGACATGAGGGGCAAACGGCTATTGCAGTCAAGTTCACGGGGGTCCTTTGGAACTGGTTATTGAACACCTTGAAGTGACTGGATTATAGGACATAAACAAGGTACCACGAAAGTCTGACTGATGGAGACGATGGGAAGCATTTAGTATAGGTGTTTGAATTCGGCTTCAGTCATCTGATTTCTAACTGATAGTCGTACGGACCGCGCATGCCAACACTTTATCTGGCAAAGTCAAGTATAGTACCAGTATCCAAACAACTGATGAACGGCTGCCTCTTAACGCTTCAACATATGGGCGGGCTTTTTGAGACACGAGTAACGTTGACCACAGAAATGCTCACAAGTGATCTGTTACTATGTAGCCTCTGCCTAGGAAGTTCTATTTACTGCCTTTCCGAGCTGCAGATGATCTCATCGAAGTGAAATGGCAAAAAAAAGAGTGTCTATTGGACGCCTAGCTGGGAGGGCCGGATAAACCCTGATTTGAAGATAACAGAGCTGACGGATTGGGTGGAGTAGACTAGTTCCAGAATCCGATGGCCATGTTGGCGACGCTGACGAAGCGTTCTCTGAATGGTCCATGCTGCCTTGCAGGTTTCAAGTGGATATGCGGAAGCTAGACAGATGCATCCTTATTCAAAAGCCGAGAGCTGCTGGGGAGGCGATGATTGAAAAATTCCCACGAAACCTCAACAGTGATACCACCTGCAGACAATTTTTCTGATGGTGCGGCGTCCCTAGACAGGAAGACGTCGAATTCCGACCCAGCGGCCGGAACACAAGCCGGTGTCCTCAAGATAAAGAATAACTCATCAATTTACTTATCTTTGAACGGTTTCCGGCTATGATAGCGTTCCGCCTTGCTATTTAACTAGCCTTCTACGAGGAACGAAGGTAGGAAAGTTCTCAGCGTACACCTAAATCCGTCATGTTACGCGTTCCTGACCTTTATCAGTCAATACTTGTCTCATTTCCTTCCGTTTAACTCTAAATGGAATTCGATCGCAAAATTTAGCACCTCATATTCAGCACATTTGATCGAGCCAGTTTGGCAAGCTAATATGAGTTTTCAAACTGCCAATGCGAGAGCACCCGGTCAAGTATATTGACTGATCCTGGTCCACTACAATTACTCAGTCATTTCAGGTTGCATAACCCTTTTAAGAATAGGCCTCCCACCAACCACACAACAGTTTCTGAAAAGTCAAACCACCTCTTGAACGTAAAAAAACGCGCCATCGCTCGAGTGGCATTTCTGAATGAACCAGATTTGTGCATGGATGCCCATCTATCCCTTCAAAACTCCGCCTTCACGCATTCACTCCGATTTTCTGTTGGGGATTTTAGGGGCCCGCATTGAGAGAAAACGGCACTTCATGGAATGAAATTTTCGCCCTGAGACATTCGTACGAAAAAAAATATGGAACCGGAATTAGTTATCAGTCAGTAACCAACTCAAAAAATCTCGGACTTTATACAAGTGGACGTGACAACAAATTTTAATCCACATCGATCGGATAACAAACACAGTTAGAGTGTACCGAGTCATTGTGTGGCTCATTAAAAGTAGACGAAAACTCACATGGATGACATGTGCATCTCTCATGAATGTGCCAAAAACAACTGGGATTCATTCTCCCTTTCAAAACTGGACCGAAAGTGGGAACTCATTGAAACGTGTCAGGATGGGCACTTCTCGTCCACTCACGAAGATTCCAGCGTGATTTGTGAAACATTCTGTGATGACCTTACAGATACGTTTGTAATAATCTCTCTTTCTCGCCATTAAGGGCTATTTCAAGCTGCCGTGCCTTTTGATATACCATGGTGGATGGAGCATGAAGCCATGCACAGACAAGTTGTATAGCCATCAACAAGACACGACAGTGGCGAACAAAGCTACCCCTCCTGGTGTTGGGGCTGTAGCGAAAGTCGACTAGAAGAGAGGGAATATGTAAAAGTGTGTGTGCGGCCCGGGTGACGTCATCCTGCGACGGCCGAGAGAGTGCTTTTGGATCACAGTTTGTGACAGGACTGGGATACTATTGCGGCGCCTAAGTCTAGAAACACAGACGATTACAACTCTCAGTCATGTGATCCAAATGCCTCATCGCAAGACATCGGTATATTATCACAGCAGTGCCGGTCTTCAAGAAACAAACTGCCGTGCACGTTCTAACAACAACCTGGGAGAACAGGAGACTGTTTTCACCGGGCCTCTATAAAATGATCAATCAGGCATGAGAATTTTCTCGGAGTGTAGTTGAGTGAGTCACAGAGATACGCAAACCGAGTCGCTTTGGGATGGGTCGGCCAAAAGGTTGATGTCGGGATGAATAGAACTGTTTGGGCATAATTTAGGGAACCCATCAGGTGTCTTAATTTTGATCAGCGGGGCGTTTTTAATGAGACTTTTGTCTTCTTAGTGTCCTAGGTAAATGAACAGAGCCAATCCAAAATTGTCTACCACATGTCACGCACATGTATTATGGGTGCGATACTTCCTACAAAGTCTATCATTTCATATTCAATCATACCGACATGGAACCAAGTGGTTAGAGCGCGAATTTACTGACCGGAAGGTCCGTGGTTCGAACCCGACCTCTGCCTCTCGACTTCCACTGTCTAGGCTTGGGCAACCTGGCAGTATCCCAGACCTCGTGCATCCTTCGTGTGGCATGGCAGCTAAGCACCGAAAGGGTGCTACAGCTGAACGATTGCAAAAATAGCGAACAGTGCCCGTGCATCAGAATCAGGGAAATCGTACGAAGTGAAACTAACCCTATCCTGTTGACGAAATATACTGATCAGAGAGTCGCTGGGAGCTTTTCGATAGCCCACGACCCATCCCCCCTCTTAGAGCCAAAAGACAGGTGCAGTTCCCGAGTTTCTTTACGGTACCTAGCTGCCATGCCACCAGGAAGTAGGAGGTCCGAGATACTGCCAAGATGCTCAGGCCAGACGGGAGCAGTCGAGGCGCCGAGGTTGAGTGAGAACCACGGACGTTCCGGTCAGCAAGTTGGCTCCTTAACCACTGAATCATCCCAAGTTCCCTAAGCGTTACACTTTCAGTTACGCAGCCACCTGCATTGGCTCATCGCTAACCGTATTCATGTCATTTTTGAAACTTTAAGAATCCACCATCCTTTAAACGCACATGACCAAGTACGATATACCTGATACTAGTGTAACGGTGATACTACTGATGGGAGGGCATGCGAGTAGTATGTTTTCTCGTAAATCCGCTTTGCGTCTCTTGAAAACTGAGATCTATTACGGAATTTGCTTGCAATTGAGTATCAGTCAATGAATATACAGGAAAGTTCAAGAGAATATGAGTAAGCAGTTTTGTAAACAAGATGCATATGAGGGTTTTACTCCTCCGTCCAATAGTCTGTAACTATTCAGTTGGCATTTACTAATAAATAACTCCGCAGCGAATGCACTTTCTAATAAATAAGTCCGCAGCGAAGATCTTCTTCCTTTCACTAGTATGGTTAATTAAGCCAATATGTGAGAATTGTTGGACCCATTTGTGAATGGCTTACGCATCCAACTCCACTGATGATTACGTGGCTTACAGTATGCACCGATGACAAAGTACAAGTACGGCACACAACTACAGGAGCTATCCGGATCGCGGAAACTCCCAGGCTACGTTGCGACCATTGACCTATATCCGTATATTGTCTCGAGGTGGAATGAACGAGGACAAATCAAATCTAGTAGTCTTGTAGGCTGATTCGCTTTTTACTGCTACACCCGAACGTTGTCGCAGGGTTTTCAACCTTGGAAACAAAACAAGTCCAATTTGCACGCTGATTCTTTCGCTTACGCGTCTGCAATTACAGACGGCGCTGGCTAGTCACTCGCCCCATCTGTGTTACCGTCTGTGCTCGCACTAGTCAGCTAAAGCTAGCTAACTGAAGATACTTTGGGTGATTCGGATGAAACTGAGCTCTCAGAGCGTCAGAAAGCGACGGGATCATGTGTATCTTACGCGTAGCAGTTCTGCTCAGCCCGGCTTGGATAGCACACCATTCAAGTGGTCAGCTTTGAGATACCAAAGCGTTGTTCGTGAATCACTTGATACTGACACGATAAATGATGTGATTATCCTAACCCGTACATCGAAGTGGCTAGGAGCCATCGTCTGTTGTGCAGATTTAAACCAATCTGAAGGTATTAGTATAGGTTCAAGGGTTCAAGTAGACACTTCAAACTGAGACTGACCTAATGAAACGCCTCGACAATTTTAGAAGGAAAGTACGAGCGTACAATCTCTTATCGTATTGCTTAGTCCGAAAACTTAAAAAGCCCTTTCAAATCACCAGTACGTATGCTTTAATCATTTGGGGGTGCGGTGGACACAGTCTGCTTTAGAAACATATTACAAACAAAACCGTGGAATCTAACAGATCCTGATATTCAACAATTTTCCGGCGGAATCCCGCACCAAAACCGCTTTACCGCTCGCAGTTAGGCGCCAAGAGGCCTAACCGCACGCGATTGGCCGCGTGTCGGCTCAGGCACCAAGCGAATTGTTCAAAAAGTTGAAACGATTGCCGGCGTGGTAACAAGCCGAGTTCGAGAGCCTGAACACGACAGCCAATCATGACTTAGTATTGGCTGGATGCCGACGGCCAGTGACGCGTCCAGAAAGCGTTAGAATTTCTACAATGTTGTCTTCCCACACACTTTAGATACGATGGACTGTGCTTTTGACATGGTTTTGGCGTTTAATATTTCCTGTAAACCTTTGGTGGTTCTTTCGAAAACATTAGCTGGGAAGCTTCAGACCGGTAATTAAGCAAAGGCATTACCGTTATTGCAAGGTTTCCCGGGTTGGGTGTGAAATATCTTAGTGTATATTACGCATCGGATGATGGTTTCGCAAATGAAGGCCTTCTGGGGAAACTGTAAAAATTGATTCTCTTCAGTACGTGGCTACGAACCTGACGAAAACGAAATTCTCGCCGTGTTGTGAACAGTACGATCTGTCAAAACAAACGATACTTTTTGGCGAGGTGTTGTTGGTCTTCAGAATACAATGTCTGTACTCGAAATATCGTGGAAGACATGGTTGGCTGCACGTATATTCGAGATTGTTTTTTCGCAGCCATCCAACTCCGTCCAGTGTACGCAAACGGTCTTGTGTGAACCGTCAATTCCATAACCAAATGGTTCACTGAACCAAGAGCATTCATCAGATTATACAAGTGCGGGTTGCTGCGTCCAGGGGGGGGGAGTTAAGGAATGCATCACGTCAATTCTATCACATCGAAATGATGAGCTCCGATTAGAATGAAATGGTACCAAAGCAAGAGAGGTCTTCCACGATAAGGGAACGCCTAGCTGGGTGCTCCGAGGCAGACGACTTCTCTGATGAATATGCCGCATAAACTGAGGCCAATTTGTATCACTGCGAAATCTTACAACCAGCTCAGTAGGCCAGACGACTGACCGACGGATACCTAAAAGGCCATGATCCGGATGAAGGTCAGAGTGGGCTTGACTCGCTGGCCCTTTACGAATTGATGTAGCGAGCTCATCGTGTGTGTGCGCGCGCGTGCACATACGAATGCACCATTGCCAATATCTGGTCTGATGACGCGATGATTAGTTGGCTAGTCAGTCGCTGGTTGATGTATGGCGGCAAACCAGTCCAACTCGGGTAGAAAGTAGCGAATGGAGGTAGCGAAATACACTGCACACATCTATGAGGCTTTGGGGTATGTGGAGGTACACACACACACACACACACACACACACACACACACACACAGGAACACACGTCAGACAACAACGACTGCATCGACGAATGCGCGCTTCCCTCGTATTGTTGTTTTGTTGTTGTGACCAGACCACGAGCCCATTTATGCCTGTTTATGAGGACCCTTAAAATCGACCATGTTAGAGTGATTGTCGAGGTAGCAGTGGATCAAAGTTCGGCATAATGATTAATGATCACCGACAAAGAGAAAAGGAAAGAGCACAGGCTCATGATGATCGAACGACACACGATACCTGGTACCAATCCTAGTTACGAACCAGGCTATACAAACGATTATGATGGCGAAGCCCGTGAGTCCATGAAAAGAGGATATAATGCCGCCTGGTGCCTGTCTACACAGTCCTCACCTAGGAAGAATGCCGAATATTAGACTTGGCAGAAGAGAGGCCTAAGCGGTAGGCTCCATCCTAGCCTCGAACGGTCTGTGCCTTCAACGTTGGAAACGAAGTAGGACGGAACAGTCTGATATGCGGTAGAAGGCAGTCCTGAATAACGACGATCAATCTGGGAGAAACGGATTTATCTAGGATGACATTTGGGAACGGACGCGTAGAATCGAGTTTAGCAACTTTTGTCCAGAAATTAGATCGAGATACGACAGAAACAAACAGGGAAGCGAGAAAAAAGCCCAATGCTTTCCCTATAGAAAAGATGAAAGCATTTACTACGGCCAACTTGGCGTTAAACAGTGAGATTTTTGGGAAATCAAATATATTTCTGCCCCGAAATCCACACAATGGTGTACGCCAAAACCAACTAAATGAGTTTGAATCGTGCTGAGTGAAGGCGCTAGGACAAACATACACGGTTGATTGAACGAAAAGTGTAAAGCCCACCTGGACGAAGACCTGGAACCTATTTTAGAAAACTTACAGACAGCAAGCTACGGCGATCAAGATGGAAGTCCACGATGTTATCCACTAGGTCAGCTGAGCTCGGTCAGCTCCAGTTCTCGTGACCTTTGTTACCAATGCGCACTTTTCAGAATTGCATTTGGGTGAACTTCGCAGCAAGGTTAACAGGCCTTGCTCTTGGTCCAGTGAACCATTTGGTCATGGAATTGACGGTTCACACAAGACCGTTTGCGTACACTGAACGGAGTTGGATGGCTGCGAAAAAACAATCTCGAATATACGTGCAATCAACCATGTCTTCCACGATATTTCGAGAAATCGTCAAAATAAAGTAAAGCCAGATGTGATGAAGCCTAATTTGAAGAATGCTGTAAGAGAGCAAGAAAACCGGAGATGAAACTTATGAAATCATGACCACGCAGTCGAGAATGGTGTAATTCCATTTCGGATCGACGGCTATTCGGTGTCTGAGTTAGTGAACGGAGCTGGTGTAGCTAACGCTTAACTATTGAGGACAGACGACCGCAGTTGTGAACATTCGACTTGCTTCTAGACCCAGAAGTTCTCAAGTGAAATGCGCTGAAGACTTAGGGATGGCTACCAATGTCCTGATGATCAGAAACCAGATCCTTGTGAAGTCAAGTGGGCTGTACAGTTGCGTTGCCCAGCGGAGTCGACAAGCAATCGTGCTAATTCATTGGGAAAGTTCCACAAATTGACCCACTGTGTGGATGTATTCTCCAAGACGAGTCGCAATGCTCGTATAGTGAAGCGGCGCGCTTGAAGGACTGCGTGACAAAGGGAGAATTGTAGTGGACTGACAGCCGTTTCCGGACATACCCGTCACACGAAACACACACACCTCAATGCCCAGTACGCAGTGTGAACCCGATAAAGTAAAACTGGATTCAGTATTGAAATGAAAAAAACGCGCGGAACAGTACGGCACACAACATATTAAGATATGGACAACACAGATATGGGGTAGCATGAATGTAAACTAGAAGCCTGACAGAAAAGACAACCCCTAGGCTTGGATGGTGGTGCATCTCCGAATGGCAGTAAGGGCTGTCCAGAAGAGTACAGCTAATGAGGTAGAGAAGGTGGTAAATTATCCGAGATAAAACCTATCCAGTTTCGTTCATAGTGAATATGAACGAAAAGACAGCATTCGAGACGGGATTCGAACCAGTGACGTTAATGCTAAAACGTATGCCGAAACGCCGAGCCAGGGCGAGATGGTTCAGTGGTTAGAGCGCGAATTTACTGTCAGGAAGGTCCGTGGTTCGAACCCGACCTGTCTCTCGACTTCCCCTGCCTAAGCTTGGGCAACCTGGCAGTATCGCAGCCCTCGTGGCACTCAAAAGGGTGCTATAGCTGAGCGATTTTGAACACCGAGTCAGTAGTTTCGGCTGTCTAATTAGTGGTTGATGTGTACAACTTATTGTTTAATTGTCTAACTCCAAAAATGGAGTTAGACATCTCGTTAATACGGCCGAATTCGCTTGGCCCTTCCGGCGTCGTAATCGCTAAAGAGCATTGTACCAATGTTTTTGTCCGCTAGGAAACCCAAGTCAAACTAGTAGCTTTTAAAATTGAAACACCGGACAAATCAAACTAACAAAGCATGGCAGGACCCGTAACCATCGTTACTGACACGGGTCGGAATATAACTGTCATTCAGGCGACGCCTTTCATCCGACACTGACATGAGTTGACGGGTAGCCGATGGGCCCCACCATCAACAACAGCGTGTCCAGTAGTTCACTGACAGAGCAGTCAATAAATATGTCCGCCTTCGATGACAGGTGCATCAGGAATGTCGCGCATCGCCGGTGAGAGGAGATGACGTTTGCCGACGTGTTTGAATCGGAACGTTCAGCAAACCTCTACGAAACACTGTGTCTCAAAACAAGTTTGAGTGGTCCGGACACGCTTTTCGCACGCTTACCTCCAATAGGTGGGGTCCAGAAGATCAAGAGAGAATACGGTGCGAAACATATGCAGTGACGCATGCATTTTGAATTGCTCAACTCAGCACTTTTGCCCTTTCCACTGTGATAAAATATCGCGCAATGTATTGTAATGCGGACGTATGTATAGATAGTCCTTTTCTAGCTTACCAAAACGTTGTTCCTTCTTTCATTTTATCCGTAAATTCTCGTTGCCATTTCAAATAGCGTACTATCGATTCTTGTTTGTTGATCGTCAGGTAATGAAACAGTTCAGTGTAGCGCCAACAATCGGAACCTTTCCATGCAGTTTGAACGACTACGGTGCAACGACGGTCGAAAAACTGGCAAAAGCTTTTTCAACCAATCTTTACTCTTCAAACACCAGGGAATACATGAACGTTGCAATCATAAGGATGTTGATGATTCCAGCAGCAAACATGTGTGTTGGTCTGTTCCCTGAGCCAGGCAATCTGGCTGCAACCAACAGTCGAAAAGAGATCACCAATGTGTCGTTGTAAGGCGTAGCTTCAGTGTACCACCACCAACGCATCGTTACAGCAGGCACCCTGTTATTTGCAACCAAACTGTCTAGTTACATATTGTGACTGTTTTTGGGAGGTTATTGAATATAGTCCGATTGCCTGTCGATCCGTTTCTTACTGGGTCCAGTTAGAGTACAACGTCATCATCATCATTGACAACATGATATCAGTGTTCAACACCGATACTTCGCTGCCGTATTAGACGTAGGCACCATGGTTGTATGTGGGCTGGGATACTATCGGAGCGCCCACGCCCAGACAGGAGGACGATTAGAGTCCTCAACCAAAGCTTTTGGCTCAAATGCCTAACCGCAAGGCAGCGGGGTTTGGCGGGAAATGCAAATGCATTACCAGTTCAACGGAACAAGCCGCCACATGTTCCAACCCCCAACCTGGAGGGCCAGGAGACTGTGTTCGTCAGACCTCTAACCATTGACCAACCTGGTATGAAAGACTCTGTGAGTGTCGTGGAGACACCTCCAGTATAGCTGAGGTGCGCAAACCGTCACACCACGGTAATGTCCAGTTTCTTCGTGATGGTAGAGTGCAACGAAACAAAACAGGAGCTATTGACGAGAATGCAAAAGGATTCTTGACATATTATGACATCTCTGTAGCGACTTATCTAGCATCCCTTGCTCACCATGGGTGACCTGCGGGAGAAAACGCTAAATGGAGAATTAACGCTCGGCTGAGAGCCATGAATCCCTCACGGGCACAGCAGACTATGTGCTCAAGGAACCTCTGCATAGTCCAGTGACCATGACCGACTTAGAGCTTTGTGACTGGACCCTGTCCAGCAGCACCACCATACACTATCTAGTCGGCACGGCATCTAGAGAAGGAAATGCGCACAGGTGAATGTTTCGATCTGATTTGACGATAACCGGACGAGCCTGCAAAGATTATCGACAACAATAACAGCAACACTGCGAGGGAGCAACTGTCACTGGCTGAAGTGGAAACAATTCAAGCGGAGCTGGCTTGTAAGGTTGACGTGACCGGTGACAAATCGGGCTCGACATCACAACCCAAAGTGGCAGCCGTTTTGACCGGAAACCGGATTTTGTTTTGGCTACTGATACCCTTAACCGGTGATTGACAGGTACGCAACTGGATTACCATTGTAGGCAAAAAGCTTTTAACAAGTGAGCGGTAACTATTTAGAATTGTCAAAACAGTAACTCACTTCAGTGATATCTGATATAGTTGTTCACTCTGGAAGGATTAGCCGCAAAGACCAATTGACGTGGTCTCTCGGGGGAAAAGGGCTTGTTTATTGAGCCGCGCTCAGACGGGCTAATTAAATGTAGTCTTCGTTTCAGAAGGGCTTGGTGAACAATCGGTAGTTTTTACTTGGGCAACGTTTCGCTTTTGACACAAAAGCTTCATCAGGCTAAGTGAACAGGTTACCCAATTGGCCAGGTTATAAGACAGACGGGGAACCAATCAGTAAATCCTCTTCAGATTACGACACTAGATCAGTGTTGAGTGCCAATTAACGGCTCCTGTCGGCTAGTGTGGTTGAATTGATGAGTTCAAAGTTTCAAATTAGTTCCGATTGCTTTTTGTTCCTTAATCTTCCACCTCATGGTGCTGCACTTGATGATTCACCTCGGGTGCCAGTGGTAGATTTTTCTTGATCTTCGTGGACATGTGAATGTTGCGACAAATTAGTTGGGGGGAGGGGAGGTTCATAAGGTTAAGTGGAATCCAGATGATGACTACTCTTCCCTATGATAATCGCAAACCAAAACGTGTTAGATCGAGCGTAGTCTTCTGAGGAGGGTGATAACCGTACATTACAGGGAACGCTTTCAGTTCTCAAAAAACAGTTTCCGTGTGTGCTGGTTTTTGCTTTACCGGAATGAATTGCACGGCTTCGATCGATGAACATTTGGCATTCGTCATTAATAATAGTAATAGTAATATTATTCGCTCACTGCAACACCGTTTCGATGCCTAACTGCCACGCCACCCGAAGAAACACGAGGGCTGGGATACTGTCAGGTCGCTCAAAACTAGACAGAAGCAATGAAGATGCAGAGGTGGGGGTCGGACCACGGACCTTCTGGTGAATAGGTTCGCGCCTTAGCTACTGAGCTACCGCGAGCTGAAAAAGCATTCATTGGACAGAACGTGGTGTTCTGTCCACGCTTGGATCACTTAAAACTATGCCTCTATGGCTTTCGGCTACGAGCTGTTCATCAGTTAGTCTCTTGTTGTGTGGTCAAATATAAACCTGACGGCGGTAAACGTGGAAGCCAGTGGAAATATGAGCCGGTGCATGAACGAAGAAAGACTCACTGACTGCTGTCTGTGTGCGAATGCGTATCATCCGTCCGAGCCTCACTGGACAAACTGTGGCGTTCGGAGTCTCGAGCAGAAACCGGAGCGTAGGAAATGTGGTAGGGATTGGGTGGTTGCGATGGTAGACGGTTGCCTGATCGTGGATCCGATGCCTGTGTGGGCAGAGGACTGGGAACGAGAAGAGATCGCATAAAAATAGGAAAAATGACGCGATAAATGGAACAGTTTGATAGCCTGTCGTAGAAGGGATGACCTTTACATTGTATAGCTATTACCTTCCTATGAGTTACAACTGGCATGTTAAAGTGAGTGAAACTCAGTGTCAGCCGACGAAAATAAGAACGGGATTTTCTACATGAACAAATTTCATCAGTACCAATCCTTTTAGGAAAGGAACTAGAAACTTCCTAGTGAGTGTGTGTGTAGCGGAGCATAAATGAGTCACTAGAGGTCATTAATTAGGAAAAACGGGCGGCTTCTTTTTCTCCCATCTGGCCAATGGCTGTTTCGAACAGGCGCCTACCAACCCACCGCAGAAACCATTTCGGTGATTTGCTGATCCACCGTGTGTGGATTTAACTGCCTCGGCAAACACACAAGGGTATCGCCGTCGCCAGGCTACTGAACAACACTCGAAAATGACACATCATAATCGATGGTTGTGGGTATCGGACCGTAGATCCGGTCTCGTTTATCTGGCCTTAAGCGCTACGCTCTCAACGAATTCGTACACCTGAGCAACCACTGAACTGTTCACTGTATGCACGCAAAAACCACGTTCTAGCAGAAAATCAGAAAAGTTGGAGAAACAACAATTTCAGTGAGGTTTGGCAAACAGAATAACAAATAAACCTATACGCTGAAGTGTATGATCACGTGAAAAAAGTGACCGACGGTTTCAGCGTACAGGACAAGAGGTCAAGGTTTCGGAAAAGATAATACGATTAGAGAGCTAGTCAGAGTTACACGCGACTGAATTCCTATTGATGCTGGTCTCACCACATTCATGAGGTAAAATGTAAATTCTATCTAGATAGCACCATGGATATAACTGTTTTCTCTCCGGAAGCAAGTACGGGTATCATCCAAAGATTCATGTGAATCTGCTCGGATGGTATCACACGACAAAAAAGTCAATAAACCTTAGAGAAAATCGCAGTTCACCCGGAGCTGAAAGCGTCAACTTTTATGACCCAAGCTAACTGACTGTCAGAAAAGTGAAGTGAATATGTTCGAGCTGCCAAAACAAACAAAACACGGACAGCAACACTACAAGCCACTGTTCCGAACATTCAGGAGCAGTCGCTCCGAGTAAAGCGAACTCGGTCGGTAGACTGAAAAGTCATTAACGGCCGCTAGGTCAAGACTCAAAGTAATGCTCAACCTTGCGAATTTTCTGCATTAGAGTCGACCTCAAAGCAACCTGCTTCACAGTCGCTCAGCTGTAGCACTCTTTCGTTGCCTAGCAGCCATACCACCCGATGGAAGCAAGAAGGATAAGATACTGCCAGGTTTCCCGAATCTGGACAGGATCAGTCGCGATGCTGAGTTTGGATTGCACCAATGTAGTCTCTGATCAGTAAGTCCGCGCCTTAACCTCCAGAGCTACCTCAATCTTCACAGTCTGGATAATGTTAACGCTTACACAAACAAGTCACTGATTTAGGGGACCGTAGAACTACATGGTCCAGGCCAACGAACAGGATGTAGATTTACAGAGTACTCCCATCCCAACAGTCAGGCCAAAACGAAAGAAGCATCGTTCGATGGACGTTGGAAATGTAATTACCGAATTCATAGGTGTGTCTGTCGCCTATGTTGTAGGACACGCATACCCCCATTGTCCTTCAACAGTAAGCTTCCTCACACACAATTCGGCTGCCCTAGTAAAGCCTCCTCTTGAGAAGAGGTGAATATAACAGAAGATACTATGCACTGTCCCAGTGGAGTCTAACGAACCTTTCTCAGTCTTTACATAGCAGAAAACTCCACACTTACAAACTCTTTGAAATGACCGCTCTCGTAGGTCCCGTTCACTACTCATTCTGGCCCTTGATGAATGAATATCGATCTACCGGGTGGCAGTAGCGTGTTTTATGTGCCAGCGATGTTGCGAAACACATGTAGCTCGGGTCTGCTGCTTGGTCGTTCGCCCGTCCGATTCGAGCTCGACGAAAAGACCAACGACCAGTTATATGCGACTTCACGTCCCCTAAGCCGTCTTCAACTACGGGAGGATAAAATCATACCTTATGTCGGTATGGCTTTTTTCCTCAAGTACAATATCGCACACAGCTCCCATGCATCCGCGACTATCGTTTTCGGCTGTTCGAGTCTATGCAGGTTGGTTTCAATATGCTAACATCTTTAACCCAGGTACCAACCTCAGCGTATGTGTTGGACGATGCCCATGTGATGACCATATGAAGTGATGACCATACCCGTAACTGAAAACTGGTAGCTTCGCCAGAAGGGGGGAGTATCGGCTAAAATGAACAAAACGACCAACGGACTCCGTTTCAAGTATTACTGTTCTGAAACTGAATGTGCCAGAGGATGATAGTCGTTCTATCCCAATCGCCGACAAAAAAAACTCGTCAGGAAACCGCGATATCAAGTGTACACTAATCTGAGCCACCTCACGAAACCGATAATCGAGGTGAAACGAACAAGTACAACACTGCAACACTGGTGGTTTTTCTTGCGTTCTACAGTAACCACTTCAGCAAAGCCTATGCGGCCGATTACGCTGAACTAGAGGGGTTCGAACCATTGGGGAGTATTGTTAGTCGTGAACGTCATGGTTGTACGAGGGCTGGGATAATGCCAGGGCGCCCACACCTAGACAGGAGGACGATTAGAGTCCTCACACAAAGCCTTTGGCTCAAAAGCCTAACCGCAAGGCAGCGGGGTTTGGCGGGAAATGCAAATGCATTACCAATTCTACGGAACAAGTCACCACATGTTCCAACCCCCAAATGGTAGTTGTGGAGCGTTTTACGTATCTTGGAAGTCGTATTAGTTCTGACTGTAGTGTGAAAGATGAGGTGAATGCACGAATCTGCAAGGCTCGGACCGCGTTTGCTAACTTGAGACACCTATGGCGTCAGAATGGTTTATCCCTGAATATCAAGGGACGTGTGTATCAAGCTACAGTACGGGCTGTTTTGTTGTATGGCTGTGAGACTTGGCATATTCGAGCAGCGGAACTGAGGCGTCTTCAGGTGTTCGATTATCGTTGTCTCAGAATCATAGCTCGTGTGGGTTGGTGTCGGCGAATCCGTAAGCCGAAGAGAGTGCTGTTTTCCATGCCCAACTCAGAGTGGCGTAAACAGAGAGGTGGCCAACCCATGACTTGGCAGAGGAGCATGAATGAGATCACGAAACGCTTGGGTGTGGTCGGTGCTACTCGCCTTCCAGGATAGGGACCACGTGATCCTCACTGTACCTGATTGGAGACACTACAAGATATGGCTGCCAACCAATGTCAGTGGCGTTCTTGTTGTCAGTTTCTACCCAGATCGTCTGAGTGAATGTCTGGAGGTGTATGCACCTCGGAGTGATTGTGGTAAGCTAGCACTAAGTCCCTTCCCCATCCACCTTTACTCTTTTCTTTACAATAAGGCTTTCAAATAAATCATGGTTGTACGGCAGTGAAGCATCGGTGTTGAACACTGATGTCATGCTGTGGATGATGATGATGACCATTAGGGGGCTGTTGTACCCTCCACAGAATATAGCTCCGGGGGATAGAAGCTACTACAAGCTCAAAAACTAAAGCACATTGCTCAAGGAGAAGTTCTTTTTTGAGTTGGAAAAATAATGTGGCCAATCGAGGAGCAATACGTTAGTTGTTAGCGGCGCAGAGAGGTGTGAGAAAGGCAACCGGGAACATATTGCAAACAAAACGGGACTCACCAAACCGCATCGGCCCAGTGAGTGTACATGTAGTTCAAGTGAGCCCGTGGAAAGGCCCCTGGCTTTTGGTCGCAACCGCGGTAGTAATAATAGGCATTTCTCGGACGATTTGCATCCCCAGAATCCTGTGGCTGTATCAAGGCTGGTGGTGGTGACAATGCCGGTCGCAATGGACCAAACGAGGCAGGCATGCTTGCTGGCTGTGGCGCCGGGTGTTGCTGCTGCTGCTGTTGTTGTGACCGTGTTGGATGGTTTGAGAATGTATGCTGCTGCAATGAGAGTTCTGCGCGATAGAACCGCGTCATTTGCAAATTTTCCACGGTTAATGGAGCAGAACATACAACCGCATTGGTCGTCATGGGTACAGAAAATGGGGGTCGAAAACCTGGAGGAAATAAATGTGGAGGAGGATAGTTGGTCCGTTGGACGGGATCGCTTGCGGTGCACGGAGTTTGATGTCCCTGGGAATGGTACTGTGAACAATGTGGACAATGCCAAGGTGGGGATTGTGCGGATGACAGATGCATAGAATCACCGGCTGGGTTCGGAGGACATGAGGACGATGCTGGTCGAAGATGCGATAAACCTACATGCCCTGAAAGTTCTTCGGAATTCAGCTCACGATCCTCCTCTAAAGTTGGCAGAATCTTACCACTCAAAGGAAAATTTGTGGGACCTTCCGGCAGACCGTGTACAGAATGGCCTGAAGCACTATCGACCAGGCAACTGGACCAGGACGTGCCAGGTTGACTGAGTTGGAAGCGTCGATTGGAGCCCTCTAATGTTGACTGAAGGAAGTCGACGTAAACATCAGATTTAAGAAAGGCTGGATAGGCAGTTGTGCGGAGAAACTGCTCGACCTCAGCTTGGGCGGGATCGAAAACCGTCTGGTCAAGGGCATGTTTTCTGGAAATACGTTCGGCAATCATCCGACGGGTCTCGGTCCGTAATCTGATTGGCTCTGTACGCGGCTGAATAAGAACTTGAGGTTCTGTTAACATCGTTGTAATCGGAGCTGTGGTGAAGCCAACATTTCCCGAACTAGAGCCACGGATGTAAGTCCGGTAAATAGCTTTTATCAATTGTGATATTTTCCGATGGTCAGATGGATCCACCTTGCTTCGAAATCCTTGACATGCGAACCAGAAGTCAAGTAAATTTGAACAGCCTTCGTATTGTAGATAAGATTTGAACAGCGCTACACCTTCGCTGTCTTGGAGAAGATAATCTAAACCGAGAGACCACTTCTTCCAGTTGGAAAGGAGGCGGTCATTAGCCACTGGTGGATCAATGGATGACGTCGAAAATGGCCATTTCCCACTGGTCCCACAAAGTGGACCGTAAACACCACCACTGCTCGTGCTGCCCGCAGCTCCACCACTACCACCGCTTCGGTCACTGCGACCATCCGCTTCATGACAAGATCGCGACGCTTCCGGTGGATAGCTCATTACTTCTAGTTACAACACGGAAAAGAGGGTCAGAGTGGCATACCACAACAATTCCACGGCAGCCTGGCAAGTTTGTCAATTAAGACACCATCTTGTGAATCTGAAAACAAGGCAATGGAAAGAGGAAAATTAGAACAAAAGATACTGCTGGAATGGTGACTCATATGTCGAAGCTCGGGAGTAAGGCCCACTGAAGGTAATTAAAGGGACTGGATGAAGCCACCACCATTAGCCGATCTGTTCGTTGCAGGTAGCCACACGGAAATCGAGTATGGTTCCATTCGGCTGCACCTAACCTTAGCTAACGGTTCTACGACAGTATCATCATAGCAACAACAAGAACAACACAAGATTGAAAACAACAGTACGTGTCCATGAGGATTTATCCAAATAAAACCTTAAAATGAATAGAAGAGTAAGGCAGAGACGGGATTCTAGTGCGAAGCCATTGATAAATGCCGCCTGAGAATACCTATTACGATATTGTCAACCAATGAGCCCAGAATAGTAGTAGCAACCATACGGTGAGAGTCTCAATTTTTCGGTAGCTCTGGAGCTGGATCTAAGAAGAAACAATCATTCATGTTAGGACTGGGCGCCTGAGTAGGGTATGCTGACCTAATTGGTGAAGTGCGCGTGGGGATTATGTAGTCAGGAGCATTCAATACGATAAAAAAACATACTGGGTGCATTTCGGTACAGTATTGTCCTCTTTGCTTATACTTAATGCAGGACCTTCAAAGGCTCCACTATGGTCACAGTGGGCGCTTGGATGTTGGTCTGGTGTTGTTATTACCAGTTCCTTCCGCAGAAACCCTAAAGAACTGCCACTCAGTCCAGTCCAGTTCAGTTTTGCGACGACGAGCCGTGTACAACGGTGCGTTGTTCTGGACTGACACAGTATTTGAATTAGGTGGCCCGAGATGAGGAAGGGGACCGACTAAGGTCAACAAGGAGTTAAAAAACATAAAGGAAACTGTGGATCAAAGGTCAAAAAAAGTTCACTGGACTCCAAGCCAGGTCCGTCATACAAATCAAGTTTGTTAACCGGGAGATTCTGAAAGTGTTTCAGGAAATATCGTCGTTGGCCATTTCAGTTCAAGAGTCGACATTTTTGGCCAGACTGAATAAGATACCCTTTTCTGGTTGTTTACTACCCACACCGATTAACCCAGCTAGTCTGACTGCGCAATTTCAGCTGTTTGCTGGAATCCAGTCGACTCGTACACTTCCTGCACCCACAGCACCAAGGGGAGCTGCTAATGGATTACTAGTCGCGCGGGGAGTAAATAGTGAGACGCACTATGTGTTGTAACTTGCTGAACGGTAGTGCAACTCTGTATCGGTCCCTTGGCTTCCTGCTCCACCCACTATGGTATATCAAAGGCACGGTAGCTCTACACAGCCCTTTATGGAGACAAAGGAAAATCAGTACAACTGTATTTATAGGGTAATCACAGAGTGTTCCACAAGGTCGTGTCAGAATCTTTGCGAGGGGACGAGAAGCGTCCAGTCAAGGATGCTTGACTCGGATTGGCTGATATTCTGACCAATCAGGACATGCCCTCGATTGGCCCGTGTCCTGCACGTCACACATCCGTCCAAATGATGTGCTGTTCGGTTATTAGGGACGGCTGGCCCCCGAACACTATGGTAGTCGATTCCAGTATCAACGCCCAGCAAGGTCTTAGAAACAGAGGTTTTCTTTTAATCCACTGGACACAGGGTGCGAATTTCGGGAACTAAATGCACCTCCAGTTTTCAGTTTGTTGTGCAGCCACTGAACACGCCACTTACAATCCAGGGAGAGGTACTGGAAGTTGTGGAGCATTTTACGTATCTTGGAAGTCGTATTAGTTCTGACTGTAGTGTGAAAGATGAGGTGAATGCACGAATCTGCAAGGCTCGGACCGCGTTTGCTAACTTGAGACACCTATGGCGTCAGAATGGTTTATCCCTGAATCT